TTGGCCTGGGCTGTGGGATCAGGCTGAAACCAGCTCTCTGACATCTCCCGAGGGGTCCTGGATTGTGAGAGAGCACAGGTCAGGCCGAGGGACCCCACCGATGCATGATTGGGACCAGGGAGGGATGCAGGAGGTTGGCCAGGTGAGGAGAGCCCACGGGAGGGCTCCAGGGCATGTTCAGCCCATCTCGCTCAGTCTGGATCAACCAGGCCCCAGAAGCAAGCTAATCTACAGGTCAGAGCATCTGACCCCCTGGTGGTCAGTGCACATCATAGCGACTGGTCAACCAGCTGACTGTCTTCCCCCTGGTGGTCAGTGAAGGTCATAGTAAGCGGTTGAGTGGCCTTAGCATATCATTAGCATATTTTGTTTTGATTGGTTGAATGGCCAACTGGACACTTGGAATATTAGGCTTTTATTATATAGGATTCTCCAATGAGAGAGCTTGTGGCTTGCATTATGAAAATTGTTATGTTTTAGGAAGCAATTGAATAACCTGGAAATAAATTATAGCTATAATTTCAGAAAAGGAAGGCAAAAGCATTATCTCTGTATATGTATTTGATGTAAGTAGATTTTAAAATCTTAGAAACTACCAAGATATCCTGAATGCATTATATATTTGATTTGCAAGTTGGACAAGGATTTGTAAAGTTACTTTATAAACAGAGTTACTTCATTTGAAGAATGTAATGTGCAGAGTTTATCTGAGCTGGTATACATGATATATTTAGCTCTAATGAAATGTGACCTAGATACATTAATACAACAGAGCAGTTTTGGAATTATTTGCTTATAAGGCTAATTACTCCCACTTTCCAGCTGTTTCTTCTTTCAGAATCTTAGAGCCTAGTGGACATGTCAGAGCCATCCATCTAAATTAAACTAACAAGGAAATATGAAGCTTGATCAAGCCATGCTTTAGATTTGAAAATTACAAAATGGGTATTTGCTCCAGGTTTTTGTTTTTGTTTTAATCTCTTTGGAGAGGGAGGATTGAAGGGAGGGTGGAAGGGAAAAGAGGAGAGAGGGAGAGGGAGGGGGAGAGGAGGAGAGAGAGAGAGAGAGAGAGAGAGAAGAAAGAGAGGTGAGAGAGAACATCAATTGGTTGCCTTCTGTATATGCTCCAATGGGGCATAGAACCCACAATCTAGGCATATGCCCTGACTGGGAATCAAGCCTCAACATTTATGTATATAGGATGATGCTTCCACTAACTGAGACACACTGGCTAGGGCCAGGATTTTGTTTGTTTGCTTGCTTGCTGTTGTTTTAATGATAATTGTGAATATGTGAGAACAAACTTGCACGCAAAGCATTCTGAGTAAAAGTACAGGATAACACTTAATTCTGTGAAAAGAGGGTAGTCTATGCTTTAGTTCCTAATTTTTCCTCAGTTTATATTCTCACTTGAATGAATGACTCACATAGGAATGTATCTAAATGTATATAAGTTTATTATATGAAATACATGCTGATATTTCAAAATGTGTAAAAGAGTGAGATGCCATTCTTGTTAAAGTAGGTCTGGTATTTCAAAAAATATAAAAATCACTATGATCAAATTTTGTGGTATTAAGACTAAATGCATTTTGTAGAAATGTGTTATATAAATGCTATTCTTATTTAAATCCCTATGCCTATCGCTATTGGTTCAAATATGTGTCTATCTTTCTACAAATATCTATATATTTGTGTTTGTATGTGTGTATATGAGTGTATTACTAGTATATATACATATATACATATTATCTTATAGAACTTAAAGATTCATGAAGTCTCCTAGGTTACATGGAGTAGTAGTTCCTTGGAGCATCAATGCCAAGTCCCTATATAGCTGGACCTGAAAAGGGGAAGCTCTACAAAATATCTGTTCAAAAACATGAACAGTTTTGTAATGAATATCAAAAATATACAATATTACAAGATGTCGGGAAATCGAAATCAGACAAAACCAAGATCCCTCTATTCTCCATATTTCTTTTTATTTTTGATCCTCATGTGGAAATGCCCTCAGAGACTCAGGTGTTGGGGATGGGAAATATATGAGCGACCCCTCTCCACCTTCCCCCCTCTCCCCCAATCTAATTCTTGGGAGAATAATTCGAACAAGTTAAGACAGAAGGTTTTGCACTGCCCTAGCCTGGTCAGGAATGGATTTGTCTGCAGCCAATTAGTTGTCAATTCTTCTACAGGATTGGTTGCCTTAGGACATGCTCAAAAAAAAAAAATGTGGGTAGGAAGAGCTTAGTCACGACCAACACAGTCTGGCTTTCAAATCACAGGCAGTTCACTGCACTCCATCACAGGGAGGGAGAAGAAAACGAGGCTGCCTCTGTCAGATGTCTGTGGGAGCTGCACACTCCTAGGAGAAATCTGCCTGGACTAGTGACACAGTAAAATATCAGCATGGAAGCAGCCATAAGCACTAGAAGATGTCCAACTGCCTGCAAGCCGCTTTTCCGATTTCCATTCCCTTTAAATCACAGCTAGCCGGCATCAATAACACTACAAAGTATTTTGTGAGCAAAAACAAGGTCATGGTGTTGTAATGCACTGTTTTGAGAGTCACTCTCAAATAAGGGCATATCCAAATGTATAGACTGTTTAAACATACAGGTCAAAAAAAAAAAAAAGCCAAAGGTAACAATAATTGAAAACAGCTGGTGAAGTTACATGTAAGTAGATTGTATGGCAACGGAACCGAGTATTTAATAAAGGTGCCAATTGGATAAGGCTAATTCTTTGGGTGTGATTCATTCCAACAGATAAAAATTTTGAGATAAAGCAATTAAGCTAAAATCCATACATTGGCATTAGAATCCAGGGCAAAACTGTAGTGGTAAGTATGAGACTAATCTATGATGATATTGACAAAAATTGTGACATTCAGGAAAGATAAGTTTTGTTGGCGCATGGCAATTAAAGTTGGGAAGGAACCATGCACTGCTTAACTTCCATTATCAAAATATAAACAACTTGGCAGTAACCTGAATGGCGAAGTGATAACGATTTTAAGGAAGATTGACTCACAGAAATGGAAAACAGGAAATACAGTAGCAAGTGAAGTGCTCACACCATGTAGAAGAAGCTGAGATCCCCTAGCAGCTAGGGCCTAGTTGCAAGGTTTTAAATGGCATGCTTTTTATCTTTGTGAATTTCAAAGACTCTGCAATGGGCAAGCCAGGAAGGAAATATTAACCATGGAGGAGAAAGGTGGTGTTCCATTCTTCACAGAGCATGCACAGAGGAGAGTAAATGTTTGTTTAGGTCAGAGGTAGGCAAATTGTGGCTCGCGAGCCACATGCGGCTCTTTGGCCCCTTGAGTGTGGCTCTTCCTAAGCCTTAGGAGTACCTTAATTAAGTTAATAACAATGTACCTACCTATATAGTTTACGTTTAAAAAATTTGGCTCTCAAAAGAAATTTCAAACACTGTACTGTTGATATTTGGCTCTGTTGACTAATGAGTTTGCCGACCACTGGCCTAGGTTGTAGTGTATTAAATACATATTTAGAAAGTGGTAATTAATAGGTTAAAAAAGAACAGCTTAAAATATTTACAATGTAAAGGTCTTACAATGTAAAGGTCTTTCCTCCTCACATCATCTTCAAAGGAAAGCTGAAATGTATGTGGAATAGCAGTGTCTGCTGTTATGAAAACTGTACCATCTAGGAACAACATCAGAATTTTTGGTTCAAAACTAACGAAATTGAACAGTTCGGCACGTATCAACTTCGAATGTAATATGACAGAAACATGTCAGCATACTTATCTTTTTCTCTTTCCTCTGAAAGTGTCCAACGTTTGTAACTACTTCTCAAAGAGATGAACAACCACACTGCTTTCCTCAGTAGGATGTGCATAACATTCTGTCTTATGTGCCCTACAAAAAGGAAAAGGAAAATTTCTCTCTCTCTCTCTCTCTCTCTCTCTCTCTCTCTCGTTCAAATTGCACGTTTGGATTTTATCGCCTCAGATTAAATAGAGGCAAAAAGAGACAGAACAAACACCGGATACTGAAAGTGTACCATGGGGGCTGGAATTACAGCAGGTCCCCTTTTTCCAGGAAAAAAAAAAAAAAGCCCAGAGGGAGAACCTCGCATTCTGCTCTGTGCTGTTCCCCACCCCCAGGGAAAGAATCAAAGAGCTGCAGAAGTAGTAGGAACACGGCTTGTCTAATTTTGCTCGGTGGTCAGGGCTGGGGGTGGCGGATGTAAACTTTTTAGATCTGTGGATTGCTTTGCTCACCAGGTAGGGACGATGCCTGTGGAAGGAGATTGGGGAAGATTTACTGCTGAGAGTGAGCGGGAGGTTCCCCAAGGCATATACTCTGCAAATGGACTTTCCTGAGCAGCTGGAGGGAAGTCTCCAGCCCTCAGAGCTTGGCGGTGAAAGCTCCGGTGGATGGCAGGAGTGTGAAGGAATGAATGATGCATCTCGAGGGCGCAGGGAAACCAGAGAAACTTCCAGCTGTCGGATTCCACGAGTGTGCCTTGAAGTTGGTCCTGCGTGGAAGCGCTGATGACTAAGTACAGGCGTGATGAGTGCCCTCGCCCTCCAGCGGGAGCGGTACCTCTTTACCTCTCCTCCGCAGCCATGTCGCCCCAGAGCCAAATGTTTGGGGGCTGGCGACAGGGCGCGGCTGCGGGGACCTAGGGACCCACAGACATCGCATGAGCGACGCCTCACCCATACCCACCGGCAGCACCTAGGA